TCTCTGTATAATATACATATACATTAGGAAACAATGATGAYAGCGGAACAAAGCTTTACACAAATACGGTATTTTGGCTGAGGTATCCTTTGTGGAAAAATTGTCGTGATCGGACTATAACTTTCAAGGTCCCTGATATCGAACACGAAGAACTMAGTGCCTAACCTAACCTAACCAAATTTTTCACCGAAAATATCGGTAAGTCTCTCAGATATTTTCATGTAATTCAGAGGGCATCATTTTTATACTCTCGCAATAAAGTAGCTAATAACGGTATATATCGTCAGATATATGGTTACATATACCAAAGTGATCAGAGTGCTGAGTAGAGTTGAAAACCAGATGTCTGTCTATCCGTCCGTGCAAGCTGTAACTTGAGTACAGCTTGAGATATCTTGGTGAAACTTGTCATGCGAGAGTATAAAATGTTCGGTGACACCCGAACTTAGCCCTTCCCTACATGTTATTTATAGGGTGTACATTTCAAAGGCACAATTATTGCAAAGTTTTATCCCGATACATTCTTAACTATTATACAGAAAGTGAAAGAACAGGTGGAATTTAGAATTGTGTTATATGGCAAGCAAGAGTGGTGATTATTCGAACTCCGTCATTTTAGCAGTGTAATAGATGAATGCCTATATAATCCTATATACTATATATACTTGATTGAAATTGGTCGGGTAGGTCTGGAGATATGTGATTTTACCTAAAATTAGGCGGTATCACGTTCACCGTCGCAATTTGTCATCTGCTCGTATAAAGCCCTATTRTGCCATCCTGGATGTAAGGATTACCATCCGATTTCATCCATTTTCGCACTGTCGCAAAAGGAGTCAAAATGATTTATTCTTTGAAAATTCGGGTGATATATATTGAATGGTTACATTAAAGCTATTAGGAGGGAAGTCACGCCCACTTTTATACATTTTTCAAGTCGGTACTATCCCTGGTTATACGTTGTACACAATTACAATTTTGTAACTTAATTTTCGGCTTGGTTATAAGAACTTATAGGTTTTAGATTAAAAGTGTTTTACATGCGTAGAAGTATTCCGATTCCGCTCATCTACCAACTACTCCTCTCAATTCTACGAAGGAACACTTACACTTTCAAGGACAGCAGGACTAACAGGTATTCTGTCTCGATTAGTTTTAGATGGTACAAACAACCGTTAGTTCGACAAAACTAGTACCTGTAGCAGTATAATAGAGCGATAAATCTATAATTATATGAGAGAAACATAAAATTGTGCATTCTTGCTGATGGGCGCTGTCAAAACTTGCTGATGGGCGTGGCGCCGACAACATTTAAGTGAAAATACATATGTATATCGGGACTTGCTCAACCTATTTCAACCGAATTTGAATTGTGGCCTTATTCTAATCTTTCTATGCTGCAGTGCGAAGACTACAACCACACCTACGGAGCATATAACACAATTTTAAATTTCGTCTGATTTTTTCAATTTCCAGTACACAAATTAAGCACCAATGATATATCGGGATAAAACTTAGCACAAACATTGCCTTTAAAGTGGGCTAGTGTATGACCAAAACCTATAAAAATCGGACCAGCTACCGAATATATGAACCCTAGTTGCTACTGCTAACTTTTTACATAGGTCAATCTGTGAGATATATTTTAGAAACTCAGAGATAATTATTTTCTGATAATAAGATTCTCGTTCAAAAATGGTTTGAGCCATATCGGGTGCCATATAACAAATATCAGGGCCTTAAAACATTTGATTGACTTTATACAGCATATGTTGGTGAGTGTAAGTGAAATATCTTAATAAAACTCAGACATCTAATTATATTAGTGATGTGTTGTATTGCCAAAAAATAGATATAAACGAGTAAATACCACGCCTATTTCCTAAATATGTACTTATACGTAATAAGAAAATGGCAAGATTTCATTATAAATGTTGAATTCTTTCGCAAAAATTTTAAAATTAAGTTTTGCTCACATCTGGAGATATTTTGTTGGCTTTGTTCTTTGTAGGAGTATGAAATATTCCCGAACTCAGCTCTTCCCTACTTGTTTTGGTTGACGACATTGAGATTTATTAAAGTAAATGATGTGATTTTTCTGTTATAAGAAAACAATGAATAAAGCTTAACTAATACATTAATACATTGTACATTTATTTCAGCTAAGAATTGAACTTCTATAAAAAAAATTTATCACGAACTCTAGGCCTCTACGCTTCACTTTACTTTTCGAATATGCTAAATAAATGGTTGGATAGTAGAAAACGGGACCGTACTTAGGCTATCATTAGATCCATTGCGCTAGTTAATTTTTACATGAAATGTGCTTAGATATATTTCTTTTGTTCTAAGATAAGGTTGTTATGGTATTCAAACTCAAGGTTGTTTTGATGATTGTTTGTTAAGGACATTTTGATAAGATACTATAATAAATTATTCGTTCCTTAACTTTCTCGCGAGCGGTAACCAAAACAAACTTTATTAAGCTTCTCGGTTTGGTTAGAAACTTTATTCTTCTCCCCATCTGCCCAATTTCTCATTAAATTGGAGCATTGGGAGCCGTGGAATATATGCC